AGTTGAATTATAGGTGTCTTCTCAAGTAGACTGTAAATTCCTAGAGGACAGAAACTTGTTCTAGACTTCTCTGTGTTATCCAGTACCACGTAGGGTGTGTATCAGGTCCTCAAATTAATTTAGTGTATTATCTGTTCATCGACTACTTATTTAACTTACTCTATCACTATCTTAAACATATTAATTACTATGTTTCTTCACATACCTTTTCTTTTATAGGTTTTATGTCTACTTCATCCACTTTTCTTTCCAGTTGGCTTTCTAGTTTTTTTACTTTCTTTTGCAGTTCTTCAATTAAACTTTGTTTATTATCTATCAAAGGTTTGCCCTGAAAAGTTAAGATGTTATCTTTGTATCTTACAAATAAATATCAAACAAAATATACAATAATCCAATTATAAAACCTTTCTGAGGCTATTGCTGACCATACTTTCTAAATGATACTCTTAATACATAGGATAACCTGGTAGCTGCCTATGCATTTTAATAAAATATGCTATTCTAGAACAATAAACACAATAAAGGTCACTACAGGAATTAGTTACATTAATCAAAGTGATTTGAAAACCAGTTTTAGCAATACCATAGACAAAATTATAAAGCAGGAATAAACTACTGCCTATATTTTATAAATCAAAGGTATTATCAGAATTAAATATAAAATTACCTGCAATCCACTGGATAGTCTTTTGATTTGCCTTTTCAGTTCAGCATTCTCCTGATCAATTCCATCTTTCTCTCTAAGTATTTTATTATAGGCTTTTTGGGTTTTTTGCAGTTCATTGTTTAAGTCATTCAAATTATCAGTTAGTGAGTTTTCTCTATTTTTACTTGTTTTAAGGGCTTCTTTCAATGTTAAAAGATTTTCACTTAAATCTTCAATTTGTGACTAGAGATAAAGAAAAGTCTTATTCATTAATCTTTATCATGTACCAATAACAAAAGCAACATAAAACAAAAATATACCATTAGTACTTATTAAAAAGAAAATTTCAACCTAAATTTTTAAGTACACAAGGGAAAAAAACTCCACAAACTACATATATTCTTTCATGTTCATGCCAAATGAACAAAGTCTACTTCAAGAAAAAAAAAAACAAAAAAATAGTTAAAATAATTCTTCTTCAACAAACGCCCAGAAACAAAATTTGATCAAATATGCAAATGTTTCATTATGGCTGAATTAATCAAAGAAACAAGTATATACCAATATGCATGGCAATATTTTAAGCACTATGAAGCATAACAGTAGTATAAAACAAAATCTCTGATTTGAAGTAGTTTCTAATCTACTTTATAAAGAATGAAAAGATAACTTGCAATACTAGACAGTATATATTAGCCACCAGAAAGGAATTCCTAGCTGTCCTATACAGTGACAGTGACAGTGACGTGAAACATACTGTGATTCCAACTACAAGACATTCTGGAAAAGGCAAAACTATGGAAAGATTAATAAGACCACTGGTTGCCA